ACACTGTGCCTTTTATTATTTCCCTTTTTCATGGGAAACTGTTTGCACTCACACCTAGTTCGTGATTAGTAGGTGACCAAAAATGCATTACTAGAAGAAAAGTTGTGGCTTCGCAGCTCACTCCTCCTGTGTCTTGAGAAGCTTTCTTTCCATTTCTCCACCAAAGCATGAGTACCTTCAGACTTTGAGGTTCTGAGAACATGTTGCATGGGTACACACATTTCTCACTTTCAACGTACTAATTGGAGATTTCTTTTTAAAAATATATATATACAATATTGAATATTGTATATTCAATATGAATATTGAATATATATATATATATATATATATATATATATATATGTAGAAGTTCGGTTTGCCAACATAGAGTATAACACCCAGTGCTCATCCCATCAAGTGCCCTCCTCAGTGCCCGTCACCCAGTCATTTCACTCAAGGACAAGGATGATGGATGCTCCCTTGTTCTGTAGAAAACAATCCCTTGATGGTCTGTTTCAGACTGACTGCCCTATAGGTTCTTTCCGTGAGTATTCTCAAAGAGAACCCATGTGTCCTTCAAAAAAGTAGAGAAAGGTATGCTGGAGCAATTTCAAGAGCCTCGCTGGAGCTGGGAAGGTTGAACCAAGTGAGCATAGGGAAGAGTAAGGTCATTTGATAGAATCAAAAGCCCAGAGGGACAAGTGGCCGTGGCATATAGCGAGAACACAGGTCCTCCCTGTCAGACATACGAATAGGAGAAATGAGGACATGCTTGTTTTCAAAAGTCATAGGAGATAATGGCTGGAAGTGGACAGGAGGACCCAGTTGTCGGAGCCCTTTAATGCCTCACCAGGTTTACTACCCTAGATAACGAGAGAGCAGTGGACGTTCCTGAACTCCAGGCTGTGGTGACACAGTCGGTGTCTGGAGAACCTCAGGAAGGTCACTAGAGAGCCCGGTTAGGTAGTTTCCAGCAGTAAAACAGGCATTTGTTTGCAAACACTTGGTCATAATTCCGCCTCCGATGTTTCCTTTGTAAGTATTTGGAAAATTGTTTTCTAACTGTGGGAAGACTCACCCATGGCTTTCTGCCTCACAAACTAATCCAATGCCTTCTTGGTCCTCATACATGTCCTTACACATGACCTCCTCATGTAAGACTGCCATAATTATATTAAATAACAAAAGTGGTATTGGACCTTTTTCTCCCCCCATTCTTCCCTGGTCCAAGAAGTTTTAAAGCCTTATGTCCAGAAGCAGGGGCAATAGTAATTTTAAAGAGTCGGCACTTTGCAAACATTCTTGAAGGAAGTCTGCTCTTGGTTTTGAGAAAACATTTCAGTGAGCATATTTGCCCAAAGGAAACACTAAAATTCTGAAGTTTGTAAATACCATTAAGTTTTAATTTTAACTTTTAACATGGTGTCAAGAAATTTTGCAGATGAAAAAAATTTTTGGTGATGAGTGCAAAACTTTATTTAGTGCAGAACTGCACCCCTATGGGGTTGATGAGGTCACCTGTGTTTAACATAAATCTTTTACTTTCCTTCAACTGAGCCCCAGAAGGGAGGTTGGTGTTTGGCTCCAAGTTTTGAGGACATTCCCAAAGTACTCCTGCATGGACAAGGAAAGATGTCACGTTGGGGACGTCCAAAGAAAGAGAGGACCTGTCCAAGTCTCCGAGGGAGGGGCAAGACGTCTGGACTCCAAGAACTTTAATATTGGCCACAGCCAAATACTTTATTTTCCACACTGTAGTTTCCCTTTGTTCCCTCTAAACCTGGATAAAAATCTAGAGCCTGGACTTGGCTGTGCTTTGGGAAACTAAGGGAAGGGCCTCGGTCTCCACCAGCCTTAGGGAGCAGAGAGAGGACAATAACCACTCAGGGAAGGCGGGGCAAAGGACGGCAAGGAGTCACTGTCAGAATCTCTTAGGTGCAGCTGGCTGAGTCATTAGTGACTACTCACACAGGTTATTGGAACAAGGAAGCAAGAACGCCTCAGAATACCCCAAACGTAATGGGGTGGGGGGGCGGAGGATCAGACAAAAGAGTGTGCTTTGTAGAAGCAGTCACACAAAATGCAGAACGCTGAACCTGGAACCCAAGTTACCCTACCTCCCTTCTTGTGCCCACACTAAAATTGGTCTCCTCCCTGCCATAGCATATGCTAAAGAACTTCAACCTTCAATCCCTGAGATTTAGGGTTTCCACACACTTTAAGATCTACCTGACACGGGTGCCTGGGTGGCTCAGTCGGTTGAGCATCTGCCTTTGGCTCAAGTCATGATCTCAGGGTCCTGGGATTGGGCCCCGCATCAGGCTTCCTGCTCAACAGGGAGCCTGCTTTTACCTCTCCCTCTGCCGCTCCCCCTGCTTGTGCTCTCTCTCCTTCCTCTCTCTCTCTCTCTCAAATAAATCAATAAAATCTTTAAAAAATAGATTCATCTGACAGTTTATAAATACGTCCAATTTTCTATCACTTTTTTAGAGGAACTTCATTCAAATAGCCTGTCCTGACCTTTGTTTCCTGCCTTCAACCTCATCTTGCAGTCATAGGACAGCAACTAAAAAAGTTTATTCAACTTACAACTTGCATATTTGCTAAATTTTTGTAAAGTTTGATGTAAATATTGTGAAGTTTTTTGGTTTGGGTTTTTTTTTTAAGATTCCATTTACTAAAATATATATATATATATATATATATATATATATATATATATATATATATTCCATTTACTAATGAGAGAGAGAGAGAGAGAGAGAGAGGGTGAGTGCGGGTAGCGTAGGGGTGGAGGCAGAGGAAGACAGAGAAGCAGACTCCTCGCTGAGCAGGGAGTCCAACCAGGGGCTGGGATCCCAGGACCCAAGATCATGACCTGAGCCGAGGGCAGATGCTTAACTGACTGAGCCACCCAGGTATTCATGTTGTGGAGTTTAAATAGGTTTTACTGATAGTTTCCCAATTATCTATCTGACTTTTGGTCTTTAAAGAACACCATTAAATTAGCTAAGCATAATTACCCCCTATCTAAATCATGATTCCCTTATGCTTGAGAAGCTAGTAAAAATATGTGATGCTTTTTAACTCTTAACATAGTCACCATCACATGTGCAGTTAGGAAAGTCACCCCTCCTGCTCTCCACTGAAGTGCTTCTCAGCAGAAATCCTCCACATCTTTTTCAAAAGTCCCAAATCACATGTGTAAGTTTACAAGTGGAGACCTTCACTTACTCAGTTTCACCCTTGTCGTCCTTGTCGTCACAACTCTCGGCTGACTACCAACTAATGGTGTCTTTTCACCATGCATCCTGATCTTCTGGCACAAAACACGCTGAGATTTGGTTAGCAGCAAATCCCATGACCTGGAATCTTACATAACGAAGTCCTGAGTTTGGATTTTGCCCTGAAGTTTAGTTTTGTTCCAGCAAAAGTAATTAACAGAAGCTTCTTGAAGGCAGAAATCACGTCTTAACGGAATTTTTTTTTTCTGTTCTCTTCTGCGCATGTGTGTCAGGCATTAGAAGAGGGACTCAGCAAGTGTATCATCAGGGACTGATGCTCAGGAACTTCCCCGAGACTCAGAACACTCAACCTGAAGCAACACTGCACCCGAGCAAGGTTTTGGCAAGTGGCATTCATAGAAGTTACCCTCCTATTTTAAAGTCCTTCACGTGGTCAACATTTACTGAGCACCTACAGTGAGCTGGGACCTCAGAGCTGAATAAGATAAAACCTGACACTCCATGACGTCAGGACGTAATAGGGGGAAAGGCACTTTCATTGGTAACAAGTACACAGTCTGGTAGGTTCACGATAGTGATCAAGCACCCATCTGGTATGGCTTTAGTTTCCTCAGAGTCACTGAGGAAGAAGCCATGTCCTGGGCACATAAAGGACATATCGATTGTCTTTAAAGTGGTCACCTTTTTTCTTTTTAATTGAAGGAAGGGCTCATGAAGCAGTGGGGAATGTAGATTCAGTTGTACATTGGGCAAGACACAGGTTCCACCTGTTGCTAACTCTAGAGCAGAACTCTTTGGGGTCTGTTTCCTCTTTTAGAAGATGGAGGTCTCAGAGGACAGATGGGAGGATAAAATTAAGACAACAAATGTGAAGTGTTTTTCACAGTGTCTTGGATAGAATGGAATTCTTATTGTTATATATGCTTTATGATCTCTCTACATAGATTTACCAATTTTATGTGTTACCTTTAATTTGGGTTTCCCATGATTTACCAGTGAATATATATCACCTTTAATATAGAAATTAAGAAACCAAGAGAATAAACAAAAGTCAAACATGAATTCAACACTGTGTATGTCCCCTGGCCTCTGTTGCCCCGACTACCCCATACAGCTGGATCCCTGATTCAGCTGCAGCCTGTTCCAGTGAGCCTCAATATAGAAAAATCCCCAATTACTAAGCGGCATCCGATCTGAAGTGATGTTTCATCCAAACATTGTCTTTTATTTATTTCAGCTTACCTCTATTTCATGAATAGAAACTGTCATGGCAAATTAGAGTACTCAAAAGATAATGTTCCTAAAATAATGCATTTATGTAACTTGGTTGAATAATCCCAGGATAGTAATAATATAGGTACAATAATTGTGTCAAACAATGTAGATGGAAGATGGTATGCCCTGAAAAATAATTTTAGCTCAGAAATTGACCCAAGTGACGCAAGATATTTATAGCAATGATTCATGAGAAGAGCTTAAATAAAATGGTTTCAGGAAATGGGAAAAGCTACACAGTATTTTTTATGATTTCATGTATCAATGTATAACCAAATTGCTAATATAAATATTGAAAGCTAGATCCCCTCCTCCCAGAGTACTGTGTTTCTCTAAACTATATAGTCCAGTTAGAGCTACTGGAGCCATCAATTCTCACTTCACCTTTGCCTCTATGAGCCTCTCATTCCCATTCAGTGCGTGACGTATTTTATGTATTTAGTTTCTTCCTCCACTATTCTTCTGCCTTTGATTTTTCCTGTCCTTCACCTGCTACCTCTATGGTACAGGCTCTCCTGGGACTTCAGGCAGTGGGGCCTCGGGGGGTGGAGGGATATCCGGGGGTGGAGAGGTGTCGGGGGGTAGAGGGGCATCCGGGGGTGGAGGGGCATCCGGGGGTGGGGTGTCCAGGGTTGCAGAGGCCTCTGGGGGTGAGGCTTCCTTTGGTTCGGGGGTCTCCTGTGGTTCGGGTGTATTCTGTGGTTGGGGGGCCTCCTGGGGTGGGGGCGCCTCCTGTGGCGACAGCTCCTCCTGCGGTGGGGAGGGCTCCTCTGGTGGTTGGGCTTCCTGTGGCTCCTTCTCTGGACCCATCTCTGAAACATTTGCAACGTTCTTTCCTAAGTCCTGTGTTAGGAACTCTGTTGCCTCAGTAGTCGTTGTGGTCTCTGAGGTCACCTCTGAGGATCCCCCTGGAGTCTCTATTGACTCAATTCCAGCCCTAAGGCTAATGAAAAATATTGAAATCAACAATAATAGTAAAAGAAATGCGGGGAGTATGAAAATTACCTTGCCAAGAATCTTCATTTCACTTGTACGTTTAGTAGGAATGGCAATTCCTCCTGCACTTAGATTTTCATTATTAGGTGATTTGCTGGGGGGACCACTGTCCACACTACCACCATTTCCTGGAGCTTTGCAGTCAGGTGGGGCATAGCCAGCCTCACAATGGCAGTGCCTTAAATTGTTGCAAACTCCTCTCCCATTACACATTTCTTTTGGTTCACAGTCGTACTTGAGCACGACATGATCAGTGCAAGAGTAATTCATGCAGACTTTGTGTGGGGCACAGAGAGTGCCAGTGTGCACATCTCCATCGTCAGGGTTATCACTGATGTTGTAGGCATCCATGCTCCAGCAGAAGTCTTTTTCATAAGGGACCTGGATCAGTGTATGATAGGGTTTGATTACTGGTATCCGTCTAATATTTGTACAAACCAGTTTCCCACAAAATATATTCTCATCAAAGCACTTAACATATTTTGACCTAGGTGAGGCCCCAAAGCCACAGTTCCCAAACCGGTTACCTTTGCTGTTCATAGAAATATAACAGTCTTCTGGAGCAGACACTGCAGGGGAACCATATATATCCATGCACTGAATATCAGGGTTCTTACACCGGCCTCTAAAGCAATAGTGAATTATATCACACAGTGTACCATCTTGCTTATAGAGGTCTGTGGGGCATTTACCAGAAGAACCATCACAATACTCTGGGAGGTCACACTCTCCCAAAGCAGAACGACACATGAATCCTTTATGTCTGAACTGGCAATTAAAACAGCATAGTCCATCATTACACTGTGCCTGCTCCTTCAACCGACATGTTTGGTCACAGCAAAGGTTATTACCACAGTCAGGTCCACAGTCACATTCCTCGTTGTAGTCCAACACACCATTTCCACACGTGGCTTGCCTACGCAGGCGACCTTTGGGCCGAGGCTTGTTAAATAGGCAGGCCCCTTTATGTTCCCGGAGGAACTTGTAGAAGTAGTCAGAGCTGCAGTTGCTGAAGCCACTTTCCTTAGTGATATTTTCATGCATGAGGCAAAAGTGTTTATCTTTACAAATGCAGGCTGAGTGGTCGTGCTGAATACCCAAGTTGTGCCCGAGCTCATGGACCATGAGCGCTGCAAACAGGAGGACATCTTCATGATGGAAGGATTCAACGGCTGTTGCAAAGCCTCCCGAACAGGCACCATTGAGAAATGCCTGCCCCGCATCCCCTTCAGGATGATGTCCAACGATCATGTGGGCAACATCGTGCTCCACACGATGGAACAGCTTCTCCTGTCTCCAGCTATTGAAATTCCTGAGTGTAACTCGCAAGTCCGCTGGGACTTCTATGAGGTCCCCCTCGGTCCAGATCTCCATTCCAGCCAACACCACCTCTGTGTTTATTCCCCTAGTGAAGATGTTGGCCAGGGCGGTGATGTCCATTACTCTCTGGACTGTCTCATTGACGTTACTGCCCCACATTTGGAACCGCTGGTGGTTGACCACGACAAACATCTCCACGTACTTGGTGTGTGACCAAAAGGAGGACGGTGCCTGTAGACTGCGAGGCTTCCTGCTCCCTTGTTGCCGGCTGGTGGACACCACTTGGCTGCCTTTGGAAGTGACATTACAGGAGACTCGAGCTTGGTGTGCCATGGTGTACAGCACATGTTCAAACCGTTTTGAAGTGTCCATGGGCTCAATGCCATAGGGTTTTCCCTCCCTAATCAGGATGCCCCTGAGGCCCGAACAGGTGTTGAGAGAAACAAAAGAACCTGGGACTCCTTCTATGTAGCCTTCGTAGTGACAGTCATGCGAGATGAAAGGCATTTCTTGCCCCAGGACACCACTGTGGTAGCTGAAGACTGGAAAGTTACTCACAAAATAGTCTCTCTTCACCTTCAGGTGAATCACCTGTTTCTGGCCCTGCATTAATAGTACATAGGATGCCTTTTCCCCTGGGCCTTCCCTTCCCTTGGCTGTCAGACTCTTGGGGATGACTGTTTCATAAGAAGAGTAATATACAGATCCAGGGTCACAGTACAAGCTTGGCAAGAAAATCAGTACCAACAGCAACAAAATCCCCAACCTGACAGAGGACAATTGTGGCACTGGTCCCAGCCTGAAGTCCCTCTTTTGCTGAGCCCAAGTCTGAAACTTTATCTTACCCTCTTTCAAGGCCCCTTGGTTTTTCCATAGTGAAGGCAGTATAGACGCAGAGTGTCTCAAAGAGGCTGCCATAGATATGGCCATTTTGAATCAGTTGATGCTGCGTGGCCTATGTCTCAAGGCAACAGTTCTTGACATGCCCCGGATATTGGCTGGCTCCCTAAGGGGTGACTGCTGCGCAGTTTGAGTAATACAGGCTTCGGGGCTCTATTTCTATTCGCTCTTGGCCTTTGGTAGTTCCCTTACGATATGACTTCCTTCCAACAGCAGAAGCTCTAACGTTCCTTGGGTAAGTTCCCTTTATCTTCACCGTTATGCCACATAGGTGGACTGTAATGATTCAGACAGTACTATAATTCAGGCAAATTATCCTTATTCTCAGCCCAGGCCACACTACACCTGATATCCGTTAATCTGCTCATTCTTTGAAACCCAACATTCTGGCAGGCGGTAGGGGGAGGGGACAGCGATTCTTTGGGGATCTCTAAGCAGGACAAAGTTCTCTGTATCCACTGCTTCCTTTCCTCATATCCGTAGTATTCAGGACATTGTTTGCAGCTCAACCCTCCTTTTTCAGCCTTTGTTCATAACAGATGTTTAGATACTTTGCATGGTGTCTGAATATAAACATAATTCTTCCCTACTTGAAGTTTTACTAATTAACATATTAAGTGATAAATGAAATGAGCTTAGTTTTACCATGGAAGTATACAAGTGATCATGACCAACATTCAATTCCTCCCAACTGCCCCAACATAAAAACAAACTGATTAACTAGCTATCTTGTTACCATTCCATTAAGAAAATAAAAAATGGACTGTGTAAGAATTTTTGTAGATTTCTTCACTCTTATAACTAAAATTGAAATGTGTAAGTCCTTGGGTTTGGTTTTGTGTCAATTTCCTGACATATTTACCAGTACTTTCAAAAGGGAAAAAAAGCACTATCCACATTCCTTGCAGTTGTTCTCCTGTACATTCTATGATGAACTAAAATAAAACTGTACATCTTTTATCCTGCATGAAAATATTTTATCAAGTCAAATATTTACAATACAAAACCTTCTTAAAAAAGGGTTATAACTGCAAGTAACACTCAAAAATAGGGATATATCATCTAATTCAAAAAGTAATGGTACAGGGGTACCTGGGTAGCTCAGTCCATTGGGCATCCTGACTCCTGGTTTGGGCTCAAGTCATGATCTCAGAGTTGTAAGACCAAGCCCTCTGTGAGGCTCCATGCTCAGTGAGGAGTCTGCTTGAGATTCTCTTTCTCTCCTGCCCCTCCCTGCACTTGTGCTTGCTCTCTCAAATAAATAAATCTTAAAACAAAACAAAAAAAGGGAATGGTACAGTACCATAAGATCTCAGATATGAGCAAGAGAGCAGATCAACTCAGTAATATTTAATTCCTAATACAGATTTAAAAACTTAATCTTTAGCATCTGGCAAGAAATTTGTACTGTCATATCACAAGTCCATTTTAAAAATGTATAGCAACTTGACAGGATGAGCACTGGGTGTTATATGTTGGCAAATCGAACTCCAATAAAAAAATAATATAAAAAATGTATAGCAAAAAAGGTAAAATGATTTTTAGCTGAATTTCTTCTCGTATTTTATATGAGAGAAGGCCTCTTACAATTAAATAATTTGGAAATTATCACAGATTTAAGATATTTCCCTTATTTTAACCAAACAGGCAGGGCAAATTAGGTTGTCATTTTGTAGGATAAAATAATCAGAAATGTAAGAACACTTCTATTTTTTAAATAAATAAAAATATAATTATAACTAAGTATATCCAATTTTCCAATTCTCAAATTGAAACACATTGCTTGATTCACACACAAGATGTGATTTAGAACATCTAAGTTCTTTAACCAATAATTCCTTCTATTTGTTCTCACATGAATATAAGCTTTCTATTTTTTTAAAAAGATTTATTTATTTATTCATGAAAGACACAGAGAGAGAGAGAGAGAGAGAGAGAGAGAGAGAGAGAGAGGCAGAGACATAGGCAGAAGGAGAAGCAGGCTCCCTACAAGGAACCCGATGAGGGATTCAATCCCGGATCCTGGGATCATGCCCTGAGCCGAAAGCAGACTCTCAACCGCTAAGCCACCCAGGCATCCTTATAAGCTTTTTAAAAAGCTATCTTTTTAATTTTTTAAAAAATTAAAATTTCTTAAGTAAGCTCTATGCCCATCATAGGGTTCAAACTCATAACCCTGAGATCAAGTCACAAGCTCTACCAACTGAGCTAGCCAGGTGCCCCTAAAAAATTACATATCTATTTTTAGCTTTGAAAAGCTGAAAACTGGGGCATCTGCATAGCTTAGTTGGTTAAGCATCTGACTCTTGATTTCTGCTCAGGTCATGATCTCAGGATCATGGGATCCATCCAGCCCCTTGGACTCCATGCTCAGCACAGAGTCTGCTGTCCCTCTCCCTCTGTTCCTCCCCGTTTGTACACTCTCTCAAATAAATAAATAAAATCTTAAAAAAAAAAAAAACTACTGAATTATCTTTACAGGGTATCTATTTTTTTTTCCATTAATGATTTTTATTCCAGAAGCTTACTCAGGTTTCATAGATTTGTTAGCCAATATTTTATTTTTTTAATAAATTTATTTTTTATTGGTGTTCAATTTGCCAGCATATAGAGTAACACCCAGTGCTCATCTCGTCAAGTGCTCACTTCAGTGCCTGTCACCCAGTCACCCCCACCCCCCGCTCACTTCCCTTTCCACCACCCCTAGTTCGTTTCCCAGGGTTAGGAGTCTTTCATATTCTGTCTCCCTTTCTGATATTTCCCACTTATTTTTTCTCCTTTTCCCTTTATTCCCTTTCACTATTTTTTATATTCTCCAAATGAATGAGACTATATAATGTTTGTCCTTCTCCGATTGACTTATTTCACTCAGCATAATATACAGGGTATCTATTTATAATTAATTCATCACCTAAGATTAGGAAGCCTTCCCTCAAAAAATATTTATTATTCAATGTAATAAGGTAATTCTTACAAGATACTTTGTATTTTTATCCTACATATCCAGTCACATACATATGGGGCATACTAACCAAATGTCATCCTGAAGACATGCTGAGTAAAGTGGAGGAGTTACAAAGCGAGCTCTGTGAGATCAATTTTAATTGAAGAGAATGTGACGGGATGAAAGTGAAGAACTGTGTCAACAGATCATCTTCCTCTGCTCTGTAAATTGGAAATTTGCCTGCTAGCCCTTCTATTTACCAACACAGGTACCCACCAAAAACTGCTACAATAAATCAGTAAATAAAAATGGTTTATGGAAGCCCATGTGCACAACAGAAAACTTTAAAAAAGCATCCAGCCTTGTTTTCCATTCAAACAGCTGATCTCTGGGCCAAAACCACCCTTCCTGAAAATGAAGGGTACAGATCAAAATAAATGTAGCCCAGGATGTCAATGTAAAATGCAAGCCAAAACATTTGACAGTACAAGGGAAGCTTTAAGAGAAAAAAACTGGACCACCTTAGATGCTAACCCAAAAGTCCAGTTTACATGATATGTAACTTTCTCAGAAAAATCATCCAATAAATAGAGCCAGGAGAACAGAGAAAAAGAAAAAGAAAAGAAAAAAAAGAAGCAACAGAGCTTGGTGGGGCTGCAGGGAAGGGGAGAGGACTGAGCGGGACCTCAGATGAATGGAATGAAGCTCTGGTTCTGCATGAAAAGAACAAACTCAAAATCCCATTAGGTTTAAGAAACACACCAATACCTTTTAAAAGATATGACAAAAAAGAAATGTTACCACTTTGCCCAAAATAATTAGGAACAAGAGAAATGAGGGCTCATCTCCCTGTCTCTTCCATTATGGGAGTTTGTATCCTGTGGATTTCAGCAGGCAGTCTGCAGTATGGATCCACAGAAGTTTTTTGGCACCAGAGGTAATCTACCAATAGTGCAGAAAGCAAATACACAGGGCAAGTGAAACCAGATTCCACAGTACTTGGTTCAACTGTTTACTAACAGACAGGTCAGTATAGTCAGTCCTTTGTCTACCACTGGCAAATGGTTTTTGTACATTTTATTACAAATAAAACAATCTTGTTTGACAATACCATCTGTCATCTTACAAACATATGAGAAAACAGTCCTAGAGTAATAGTGTATATCTAAGAACTGAGCTTTTCTTAAAAACAAACAAATGAACTATACTATGAGTAAGTCCTGTATCTAAATCTATACAGTGTCTTTAAGTAATGTGGAAATGAAATTATGATTTATTAATTTACATAAAAATTACTTTATACATTAAAGAATAATTTTTCAAATTGTTAAAAAAAACAAAGTCTGAAGCTGTCATTATTGGGATTCATGGGACATGGTTTGTTCTTCTATCACCTGCTTCACAATTTCTGCCAGTTTTAGTCTATCGACTTTATCTGTGAATCCACGACCTGAAATGCAAAAAAGAAAAAGTCAGTCTCCAAATGTTTGGAAGGGAGATTCTTGACAAGAACCCAATAACAGAATCATGTGATGTATGACAGGGGATCTGCAGGATTGAATTTGCAGCACACAGTTTATCTGAACTCTGAAACTCAACAAGTGAAAGAGCCAGACATCTAGATACACCTGTGCAGCTAATGTAGGACTAACCCCCGTCCCATAATACTCCGCTCACTCTCTAGCCTCACTTCACCTCAAAACAACCCCAGCCAGCCCCCAGATATCCTCCATGTTCTACAAATAATCACTTTTCTGCATCCACGGAGAAAGAAAGAAGGTTCCTACCGTTCCAGCTGAAGCTTTGCAGAGTATCTCTTAGGAGTTTGCATTCCCGGTTATACTTCCAAGCCTCCTGCATTACTTCATTCAGCTTTTCATCTTCATTCTCTCCTATTGATAAAGATGAAGAAGTTGTGTCTTCCTGTGGCATCATGGGATTTTAAGGGTCAGAGATGGAAGGACATGTCTAACTTGTTGAGAAGTGATGAGTAAAAGTGCAAACTTTAGCAATGTTGTTACTACTAGTTCCTACACTACACGTAGGCCACTTCTGGGCTTTGTACTCTTCTACTCAGATAGCCTCACACAAATCCTCTGATGTACCTAGGGTCTTAGCACTAGAGTCTGGGAAGTAAACAGAGTCAGACTCTGCTGCTGATTAAAAACAGATGTTAACCTAACAGACCAGGAGAGGACAGAACAAGGCTGAGTGGACCACCTTCTTTATCCTAAGCTCATTTCTTTGGAAGCTATCTAAGTACACTATGTGAATTCTCTAAAAACCCAAGGAAATCTAGACAGCCTTCTGGCTTCCTACTTGAAGCATCTCATTCATCTGCTGAGAAGAGCCCATTACACTCCACCAAGTGGAGAGAGACCACACTAAAACAAAGTTCTCACTAAAAGGAGACGTGTACAAGTCACACTCTGGCCATGATACAACTTGGGAGGTGCTCTCTGAACTTGGGAGGTACTCTCTTTATATTCACAAGTTAATGATAGCCTTGCACTCTAAAGGCTCTGGAAATGCTTCCTGTTCTTCACACGCTGATCCTGTCCACATTTTCCATTCTTCATCTTCTATCCTGTGCCTTCGTTACCAAATTAAGAAAACATAAAACTGCATGCTGCACCAGACACAGGCAATTAAACCTTAACTAGCAGTTTCAAAGAAAACCAAAGGAGGGGCACAATTTAACCACCTTTCTGAGCTCCCGCTGCCCTCTCTTATTTTAGTGGGCACAGAGTAATTTATATAATGTACTTATTTTCTTATAACACAAAAATGAAAAAGAAAGCCTTAAATTAAACTGCTCCTTCTGTCATGTGCACACGTGCACACACACACACACACACACACACACACCCCACACACGGAACATTCATAAATGGCGTGACCTTTACCAGCCTGGGGGAGAATACACTGAGCAATCACATCTCGGAGCTTTTCCAAGGCAACATTTGAATCCTCAGCTCCATTCTCACGGTCATGGATATAAACACAGTCCTTTGGCTTGGTGCTTTAAAAGTTTGGGAGAGAGGAACAACAAGGTGAAACCTCAAAAACCAATTCTCCACAGTTAACTCTAAACATAAGGCAGCACATTTTTCAGATAAATAATTAACTATTGAGTGTCTCTAACTTCTGATGCTATTTAAAGGGGCTTACCCTTTCTACCCTCTTAAGTAGCAAAAGGGCAAACCACTGGCTGTTCTTTCAGAACCCTGCGCTTAACTACACGGACCATGAAGGAGAATCCATAGAATAAGCTCAGTTACCCGAGTAATTTCCTTTTTCTCAGAATAGGATTGTTCACAGAGTGCAGGGGTTTGAGGCTGACTTTCAGATCCTGGATTCTCATGTTGGCCAACTGTTCTGCGT